TTGTTGATATGTAGAAAATATCTTAGCTCTGTGTAGAGTGAAGGTTTTTAGGGCAATTCTTGACATACTTGGCGTTGAGTGATTTATAATAATGGCGTTGAGTGATTTATTATCAATATTATAGTTACCAGAAAATGCAAACAAACATTGTAGCGCTTCAATTAATGAAGATACTATTGGGGTTGATGCTATACAAGCTGAGGCCGAGAATACAGATGAAAATCAAAACTATGATTCTGACAATGACTCTGAATTCTTGGCAGATGATATCCGTAATGATTGTGATTTTTATTGATTCACAGCATTTCTCTTTTACAAATATCTTTTTCATATGTGGAAACCCTTTTACATTTTCTATCTATTTCTCAGGATGATGTAGATAGATGTGTGTTTTATCTGATCATTCGTGTACATAACATTAATCTTTTAACAGCATTGGTAACGCAAAGCCAGGGTTGAACAAGGAGCCAAAATTTCTTGTTTTCCTGTCACAATTGCTGTTGCTGTTTCATTTTTGTCCTGTTTCCAAGGTTCGAAGCACATTATTGATGTTAAACAAAGTGCAAATACTATGTGCAAAACCTGTTTGCTGCAAAAAGGAAAATGTAGGGAGAAGTCAACCATTCATTTCAAAAACAGCAATTCCAGCGGGAAAATTATTCCTGTCACTTGGAATTTTTACTGCTGGTCCAACGGCTTCAAAAGTCTTCAGAATTTTTCAGAACATGGGACTGGCTTGCATGGGACTGGCTTGCAAGACTTTCATGAAACACCAGCAGGTAAATGATACATCATAATGCATCTAAAGTGTTTAATTTGATGGGTACACAAAGTTATTGATTGCTAAACATTAAATGGTTCAGATAAGCATGTAGGAATGGGTAATACATGTTTAAATCAAACTGTGTTTAAAACAGTCTGAATATTGACATTTTGCTTGTAGGAAAAGTTATTCCCATCAATTTTATTGTTCTGGAAAAAACATTGGAGCCAAATGATTACTGAGATACAGAACACAGGTGAACAACTCATTATTGGTGGAGATGGAAGACATAAGTGCCAAGTTCGGTGCCTACACAATTATGTGCTTCAACAATTCAAAGATTACCCACTGTGAACTGGTGCAAGTGAAAACATATTTGATGCAGCTGTTTTTAGAGTAGACTGGATTTACCATTTATATATATATACCAATAGATCTATATGTTTGATATCTGAATATCAATATATTTATATATACTGCATGCCGTTTTGCATCAGAATGTATCACCTTATCTCAACAAAGAAGGACTACGCTTCCTGCAGGCAAGAAAGAAAGGACTGATGACAGAGCTTGACAAGTCAAAGAGACAATAGTTCACAGAAACGATGCAAAAAACGGCCCTAATGAATTTTTGTCAAAAGACATGGCCTTCTATTTTGATAGGTGTGACTTTGTTTACAAACGAAACCATCTTGACCAGGCCTTGGCCCCAAGAGGCCGTGTTTGGCCCAAAAACGCGAGGGCCGTAATCAAGACTGTGCTGGCAAAAGGCAGGCCTATGGCGCGGGGCAAATACATGAAAATGATTGTTGTTATTAGCTATGGCAAGGAGGTTATTTGCTGCCAGAGGTATGAAAAAATCAATGGTTTTTGCATCGTTTTTGCAATGAAGCTTTGAAATGATGTTCAAAAAAGCATACAAAAATACTAGGATCTGGTTTCAAAGATGATGACCCTTCTCAAAATAGTAAGCAAGCCAAAGAGATCATGAAGAAATTAGATTCAGAACTACTGTCAATTCCATGTCAAAGTCCTGATCTGAATTTTTCTTTGTATAAAAAATCAAGATTTGCGATTCGGAATTATTTAAAATGCCTATCAGGTCAGCTCAAAATTTTTCCATAAGCATTAACTGACTTAAATTAAGGCCAAGTATTAATTTTGGCAACTTTAAGCATTTTTAACCATAACAGTCTTGATATACCCTCAAGAAAGGGGTTTGAAAATGCAACATTCTGTGTAATGTTGCGCAAAACGGAGACTGGGTCCGGAAAGATGCTGACTTCTGCCCCATTTTGCAAGAACTCCCTAAAGCTGAATTCACACTAGATGCGTCGTGGCCCATCGCGTCACGGCACGGCGCATGGTGGCATGGCGCATTGCGGCACAGCGCATTGCGGCATGTAGCATTTCGATGAAAATCGCATTAATGTGTTCAGATCTGATGCGTCACATATGGTCACATTGCTCTGCGTTTTCATGACAGAATTAAAATGGCGTCCAGCGAGACATGCTGCTTGCTTTAGCATTACAGACTCAAGCTATTGCCGCAACTTTGCTGAAAAGAAAGGAAAAGAAAACGCACTCAGTTTGAGTAAGAAAACTTTGGAAAAATCGAGAGCAGCAAGGTCATTACAACAATCTGATAGCTGAGATGACTGGTGAGTCACAGGCATCTCTTTCGTACAACTATAGGATTGGGAGGTCTACATTATGTGACATTTTAAACGAAGTGCCAGAGAAAATTTGGTGTGCATTGAGCCTCATAGCAGTGGCTGCACCAAGATCTCAAGGTGACTGGAGTAAACTTGCAAATGATATTTGGAATTTATGGGGGTTTCCTTTGTGTCTTGGAGCCATTGATGGAAAGCACTGTGTCATCAATTGCCCTCCAAATTCAGGCAGCTCCTTTTACAATTATAAAGGAACTTTCAGCATCATTTTGATGGCAGTATCTGATGCCAGCTACATTTTTACTTACGTTGATATTGGAGACTACGGAAGGCAAAATGACTCTAGTGTTTTTAATAACTCTTCATTTGGTGATACACTGAATAATGGGAATCTTAATATCCCAACTGATGATTTCCTGCCAAATACAGGAACAAGGGCAAGATTCTGCTTTGTAGCTGATGAAGCTTTTCCTCTTAAAGAAACAATTCAGCGACCTTATCCTGGGAAAAACTCAACAGAAAAGCTTCGAATATTTAACTACCGATTATCTCGGGCAAGAGGGGTAGTTGAAAATGCGTTTGGCATTTTAGCTGGCAGATGGAGGTTTTTGAGAGCCCCAATACAGGCCCAGCCAGATAAAGCAGCAAAGAATGTTCTCGCAGCCATTGCCCTCCATAACTGGCTAAAAAAGCATGATGATTCCCAGAAATCATACCGACGCCTATATTGCCCAGTTGGGTATGTTGACTACGAGGACAGCCATGGAATCGTTCATAAAGGGATTTGGAGATCCGAAGTTTCAGAAGCTGGTGCCCTGGCTGATATCACTCAAATGGGGTCGAACAACTACCCAAAAACAGCAGAGAGATTTTGTGCTTTGATGGCCGACTTTTTTGTATCTCCACAAGGTGAACTTCTGTGGCAGTACACTTATGTTAGAAGGACTTCATATGAGCCAGTTCATTAGGCTACAGTTATATCTTGATAATTTTTCATTTTATTATATTTCTACTTATTTAAGAATTAAAATATATATATGTATATATATTTTCGAATTGGTTGTCCTTTTTACGTTAAAAAGAATTTTTATTGCGTGAGAAAATTCACCAGATTTTCCTAGCCACTCCATTATTGCACGTTTCTTTCAAATAGCACAAAGAGCATTAAAAATTACACATCCTACAAGTCATGAATGTTATTTGCACGCGAGAAAAACCTGTATGATGAAAATATGAAAAGGGGTGAACATTGAAAAAGTTAATTTTTTTTAATTGCAAATAATTTCATTTTCCATTGGATTGGCTTTGTTGAGCGCTTCACAGATTAGAATAAAACAATTCTTCCCCAAAAGACCTTTTTTACTTGAGTAACATAATTTTCATCATTTGTCATGGAATGGATTACTCAAATATTCTTAATTTTTAGTGTCGTCAAAAAAACATGAGTGTTATCTATTATTCAGTGCAATTCAACTTCAAATCTATAAAATAGCACCTCACCAACCATGTTGATATACCGACTGAGTTTGAAGGAAACAATTTAAAGAAAACGATTTGAAGAAGTATTACCATCCAGTTTGTAGTCTATTTAACAGGAGCCCTGCCCAATCTTTTTCTTTAAATTTAAAAATTGCCTGTTTTTGTCAGAAAAATGACCTTTTTTGATAGAAAACTTACTCTTTCTTCAGGACAAGTTACATTTTTTTTCTGAAAAAAAACCCGTTTTGGAAAATGATCTTTAAACATAAAAAATAATCAAGACCGATGTACAGAGAAGGGAAAAAACAACTTCATACTGTCTGTAACATAATGACAAATCAAGATCTGGCAGCTTTGAACATCTCTTAAAATCTTTTAATGTGTCATGAAATTTGTTTCTTAAAAATTTCTGTTTCCCATAAATTCTATCTTTAATATTTGTCTAGAAAATCAAGCTGTTTATAGCTCTTATGCAGGTATTTTTCTGCCATTTTTCCTAAAAAAGCCTATGATATCTATTCCGTTAAAAAATGCACTTAGAAACCGTTGTGTAATAAGACTTTTTCAATACGCATAAAAATTAATTCTCTATTTTATATAGACTCTATTTTTTATAAGAACAATTTTATAAGAACACGAGCCTCAAAACTGGTCAAAAGTTAAGAACAAGCTGAGGCCGAGATTCTGCAAAATGCAATATTGAACAACGTTTTTTCTCAAAATCAAGGATTTTCAGTGATGTGTGGGTGCATTTTCGGTGAATATTCAAATTTGTCAGCAAATTAAGGCTGTCTCACTCACTTTGTTGGCAAATGTGGCCTGAACACCTCCTTAGGCCAGCCTCAGATTTTCGAAAAAATTAAGAACAGTCAGCCTGAACTTAAATTTACTGGTTTTTATAAAAAACACTGTAATACAGAAGAAAGGTAACACAGTATTAATTGTAACAAAAAGACACTTGAAACAAAAAGACGCAACTTTTTCAATTAGAGCAGTTTCTATGCATTACTTTGGCTCTTCCTGCCACCTAACTTCATGCAAAACTTGCTGTATCTTTATTTTGGCAAGGCTCTTCTGATACTCACTTAATTTTTTAGCTCTTTTCCGATGCTTTGACCGAACAAATTGTCTTCGTCTGCTTCTCCTTTTTTACTCGCAGTGTTTATAAAATCGCTTGTACTGCCTTTTTTGGGAACGACTGAGTCATTCAGTGCAGCAGGAACAGGAGAATTTGGCTTTGATGATTGCGTCTGTTCCAAAATAAGGAACGTATCGGACGAAAGAGTGCTCAGCTGCTGCTCCGTCTCATCGACCTCCAAAGCATTAGAATAACAGCTTTCTGGAGAGGCTTGTACAGTATCATCGCTGACCATCTGTAGATTTCCCAGCGTCTGTCTGTGCTTCAGAAAGGGAGCCAAAAATTCAAGCAGTCTAAAGTACGGCCACGAAGGCTCCAATGGTACACCTCCAGCACTTCCAGACTCTCAGGTTTTTGAAAACTTTTTTAAGGGCATTTGTATCTACATGAAAGAGCAAATAGACTCGAGTTAAATATTGTAGCATAAAAACTTTTCATAGGCTGGGTTGTTCTTAATTTGTTCATCAAGAAATCTACACATGAACAATATACCACTGATGAAAACATTTGGTGGCTCGTGTTCTTATAAAGTACTCTTATCAAAAGAGTTTAAACTTCGATCTTATCCGATGTTTTTCATTCAAAATATCACGCTTGTCATGTATAGTCATTCTTACAATTCAGGACTATTTTTGTGTCCCCCTTATGATACGAAAAATTCAATGAAAGAATCAGGCATTATTTGAAAGGTGCCAAGTTATCCTACATTAAAAAAAATTACCTGTTCCCATTCTGCTTTAATTGTAGAATCGACATTCCTTCTTTGATAAATCGAGAACATGCATGATATTTCATAACAGGAATGCAAAAGATTTAGGACACATACCTTCAATGAGTTCTTTTTCATTTTGGTACGTCTTCTCAAGTACTTCATTGCAAACATTTCGCCAAGCGTTCTCCCTAATTGACTCGTCTTTATACTCCTTTTTCGTCGTATTGTACAAACAAGGGTATCTTCTCACTGCTTCGATTAAACGTTCCTTGTTTAAGATAGCCGCCACCATTATCAAAATTATCAAGGCTTGCACTATTGTTCTGATGCGGCGTGTCATGGCAAAGTGGGATTTATCCAACTTTGCCGCATTATGAAGCATTGCTAAAAAAAACGTGATGCGCACGCAATGCCTCTAAAAACGCTAACCTTATATGGGCAGTGGCAAAAAAACGCCTCTAGTGTGAATTCAGCTCAACTGGGCTAAAGATCAACAGGTAGACGTTTACACACTGTTGTCTTTAAACATGAGTTCCGACTCTGAGACCGACCAAGCCGTTCTGAAAACACGAGTTAAAGTAACTTTTGAGGAAGAAGATGAGGAGCCTGAATTTGTTGTAAGGGAAGGAAGGGCACATAGCAACGATGATGATATCGATAGGCCTTATACCGGAGAACCTATGGTGGAAGCGAACTGGGTGCCACAGTATTATAACGGGAGAGAAGAGGAGAGACAGAGAAACGAAATTCTTTTGATGCGACTTAGCTGTTATTTAACAATTCAGTCATGGTGAGTAGCATATTATAATCTGTAAATCTTTGGCTAATTAGGCCTCACTTGCCAACGTTGCAACCGTGAGATTGATTATTGTAGTTAGGTGACGCATTTATAATTATATCTTTTAGTTATTAATACACAAATAAATTTGATATTAAATAGACTATATCATCAATTCCAACTGTTTAAGGGCACAGAGGGCAAAGTTCGTTATTAGTGGCTTCAAATTTTTCTACCCTCGAGGATTGTTTTTACATGGCATTAACACGAACCATATACAATTTCGCTTGAATTTTTTTAATTGAAAATAACTAAAAGTATGTTTATTCCTTTATGTTAAGGGTGTTGATGTTAAGACCTTCTTGCAATGTTTCACACGAAATAGCCTGCTTTTCTCTATTTTTATCTATCTGTTTTTTGATTTTGTTTTTCATCTTATACCAAATTGATACCTTTTTGAACATCTAGGTGTACATGTGGCCACTGCCATATAGAAAAGCTTTCAACTGCAAAGGAGTGCCAGTGCTGCAGAGAGCTAGAAGCTGTTGCCACGAGTTTGAGTGATGAAAGGGTGTTTGATGATGTTGATGAAGTCCCTCGATGCATCATTCAACATCCAGGATTTTCAGAACTTTGTCTGGCAAAATGTTCATTAAGACACTTGGCAGACAAATATAGAACAGAAGAAAATGTCAAATACAGGAAAACTGGCACAGAGAAAGGGTGGGTTTATTGATCACTTTATCTTGGACAAATCTTATATTGTTCAATTTGCTATTGGATTAAGATTTAAAATTAACCAAAACACTTGCTGCTAATTTAGAAAAAAACTATAAAATCATATGCAGTGTCCTGTTTTTTCATAAATGCTATTGTTGTTTAGATACCGGTGCTTAGATACAAATCACCAAAAGTGTTTGCCCTTTAGAACTAGACAAGTGACTTTATCTGGAATTTTCTGTTCTTTCTGTAGGTTCTTCAGAGCAGTTGCCTACAGGGTTGCCAATTTGGCAATTTAGTTGCCAAAATTGCCAATTTTGGCACTTTTTCATGTTGTTTGGCAACTAAAAATTTAGATTTGGCAACTGTCTAAAGTTTGGCAATTTTTTGGCACTTTTCGAACATTTTCTCTTCACGAGTTTGTGACATTTTCTTAGTATCTTTTCATGACATTCTCCCTTCAAATTCGATAATATTCCGTTATTGACACCCTGTGCCTCCCCCTGACACTTCTCGAAATTTCATTCACTTGACTTGGGTGACCGGTACAAAGTACTTACATCTTGGTGTGACCCTGTGATGTCTAATGTTAAGGTGTGGTGTCGGTGATAGGAAACAATTTGTAAATATGTTTGCATACTGTTCACATGTCGAATGTCGTCATTTCTGTTGATGATTTCGATTGGATAACATCGAAGGTACGTATTTTTCGATTCCCAATGCTGATTGGACAATATATTTGTATTTCCTTTTCAAAATATATAATAATGCGAGATTTTACAATAGAAATTTAAACATCTATTCACTGGTGTGCAATTTGTTATCATTCTGTTTCTACTAATACTAATATGCGAATATGCAAATTTCCTGTATTCTCCTCAAACAACAAAAGCCAAACACAATGCTCCAGCGGATCCCTGGGTCAAAATTGCATAGCGGTTCAAACGACACCGCCCGATCTTGGAGACGCTTACCAGCCAAAACCGCTCGGCTGATTTTCCAAATTCTTTTTTCCACTTTTTTTCGTTTTTCCTCCCTTTTTCATAGATATTTGTACGTTTTCTCCCGGGTTCGTTCCAAAATCGCTCCAATCCTCTCGATCTCGATTAGTGCTCTCCGAGGTCTTTGTCCCGCCTTTCTAAAGGTCCTTTCTCTCTCATTTCTCTTGCTCTCTACAAAAGATTTCAAAACTTCTTCCTCCAGCAACCCTTCAATTTGAATGGAGGCTTTTCAAATCCGTTTCGTTTTTAACACAACGGTGATTTGATTGATTTGGAATTGGATGATAAATCTATGTGCACTGCTGGTTGGCATTCCTTTTCAAACTCGAGCGGTTGTCGACGGTCGTGTTCTGTGCTACAGTGCTACAGTACTACAGTGCTACAGCTACAGGTGAGTCTCCCTGGCTTTTTATTATAAACATTCTCGCTAGCTATTTTCCTTTCCTTTTTATCGATCGATCGATCGATAGATTGAAACCCCGTTTGTTATTATTTCGTTTGCAAGAGCCATGTAATTCGTGGTTTTGACGATCTTCCTTTTCTTCTTTTTAGTAGCTACATCTGGTACGCACGCTGCTGTCCGCTTTTTGGGTTCTGTGATGGCTGCTGTCTGTTCTCCTTCTTCACTGGCATCAGAATCGATGGCATGCGAATACAAGTAAGCGTTGTTGACCCCCGCCGCGAACGAAAAATTTTTACCCCTTCTCATGTTTTTGTGCTAAAAGGAAACTGGATCGGCTTTATTGCAATCAAAGTATGAAGAATTGTGGTGTTTATTCTTGATGCAAGAAGATTGATTTTCATAGGAAACCCGTTGTAATGCGAATTATGTAATCCCGCCAGCCCCCAACTTTTTATGCCTATCGAGGATCCTTTGCAGCAACTTTTCCTAACCGCCTTCTTTTTTGTAGATAAACGATCGGACTCATTGACTTTTTGGTACAACAAGTGAGTATTTTTCGATTAAAATTTCACTTTTTTTGCAATTTTCCCGCTGAGACTGAGATGGGATTTGCCTGCCTCTCGAGTGAAAATTATTTCTAGCTTTTTGAGATCATTTTTTCGGAATAATCAATAAATCATTCTAGAAACCATTTCAAATGACTTTTTGCTTATTTGGGTGAAATCACACTAAAAACCGGTTGCCAAAAGGGGTTGGTAGACCCGCCACGAATGAGTTTCTCTTAATGTTTTACCTCTTCGCAGTTTTGTCCTTCAAGGAAAATGGATTTGCTGTATTGCTCCCTTAACAAGAACAAATTCAAATGATTTTATGCATAATTTGATGAAATTACACTAAAAACCGGTCGCTTACTGCTAGACCCCCGCCGCGAACGGCGAATTTCCACCTCTTTTCGTGGTTTTGTGCTGAAAGGAAGCTGGATTGTTACTGTAGATTGTGCCTGCATCATTTTGGGAATTGTAAATTTATCATTCTAGAAACCATTTCAAATGACTTTATGCTTATTTGGGTGAAATTACACTAAAAACCGGTTGCTGAAAGGAGTCGCTAGACCCGCCACAAACGTGTTTCTCTGAATTTTTTACCTCTTGCGTAGTTTTGTGCTTAAAAGAATATGGATTGGCTGTATATCGATTTCTTTAAAACGTGCTTTCATTAACCACGGAATAACATTTTCATTATTTTGTTTGTTCTCCATCTAGATCAAAGATCGTTTCAAGCAATAGTTATGTCACAGACGTGATTCTCGGACCTTCGAAACAAAATTCATGGCATTTATGCTGTCGTTAAATCGAACAAAGAAACAAGAAAAAACCATGACTATGGAGAAGAGGACTTAAGTTATATAGATAGCTGTTGTCTGTAAATTGTATTTTGTTAATTTGTTGTTGGAGTAAGATTTCTTTCTGATGCTCTAAATTTTGGCTGTTTTCTATCGCTCAATTTCTTGCGTTCTTTGTTGCTGCATTGTTTTAAAGACTCATCATCACGAATAGTTCATTTTTTTGATATTTTCACAACGAGCATCATGAACCAACGACGGCTAATAGAAATTTATTGTTAGATTAAACACGAGGGCTCTAAGTAAGGCCCTAGAAAATATAAAGACGATTCCCATAAGTCAACGAGGGCTAAAAGTGTATGGTTAAAGAACTCACAATTTTTTTCTTAATAAGTAAGCCCCCTGTTTTTCCTCTTTCTGCAACTCTCCCTCGCCGCCTTAAGTGTTTGCGATTTTTCCACTGACAAATTTTTGTGAAGAAGGCCTTTTACAGGATATACACTGTCCTCGAAGTTAAACTAAATGAATTTACGAAAAAGCATGTTGGCTATAGATTTCCTTTAGTGTGCTTTTTGTTTGTTATAAAGTAGTTTCACATTCCTGGGTTTATTTGACAAGATATAAACATGGGACAAAAGTAAGATCTGATAATGTTTTTCTAAGAGTTGTTGTAAAAGCATGTTGAAGTTTGTGAAAAATCAGACAAAAAAAATTATGCATCAATCTTGTACAAACAATGCATCTCGATAAAGGGGACTGAATCTGCAAATTACCAGCCTAAAGAAAAATTAAAGATAGTTAATCAGTTGATATTGCGAGATATCAAATTAATTACTAGGTACACTGTCTTCCAGAGACAATGAGGAGAAAATCCACCTTGCTATTTTACTAAGAAGTCCCATCTTGAGTTTCTCTGGACTTGCAAGCACCTTTGTTGAAGCTAGCAACAATAAATTTAAAAAAAATATAACTTGGCAGGCTGACGTGCCAAAAAGTTTGAATCTTGGCACGGTGAACTAAATGCTGGGATTTTGAAACCATCTTCTTGTGGCGACTACATCTCGGGTTTTTTATTGCAAACACATTTGAAGAAGGGTAGCGATGCGCACCATAATTTATACTTGCCGCTTTAAATTGGGGTGAACTTTTTATATTTGCTTGATGTGTTAAATGCCAGCAATTTTAAACTGTCTTTCATGTCAAGAAAGGGGGGTACAGCCCGTCATGTTGTTTTTATTCTTATCATGGAACCTGAGTTTCTTTCGGCTTCCAAACATTGTAACCGAAGGTAGTAATAATACACAATATGAATTATACCTGACTCCATTAACTGGGGGTAAACTTTTAACTTTGTTTTTTGAAATTTTCAACAGCCCTCTCTCACGGCAAGTGCTATCAGGAAAGAGAAACATATTTCGTGAATTTGATATTTAAGGAAAACCCCCTCTCGAAAGGGTCTTGCTTTCAAATCATTAATGAAATAAATTTGAAGTGCCCGCAAATTTCGCTCTTTGATTATAAAAATTTGATGCAAGGATGCAACATCTAAAGCTAATTCATAAAACATGTCATTTTCGTTTTCTCTACTTGTTCAAGATGACGGTTTCAGATATGCTGTTTGTATTACCGACTTTGTACAGCTAAAACGTTTTAAATCTGAGTTTGATTAAAAATAAGCAGTGGCAACAAAACCTATATTAGCCATTTTGTTAATGCATATTATAGTCAGTGTAACTGTGTGTGAATGACACGTTCTTTATATAGATTAACTTTACTTTTTTCATGAAGCACAGACATGCTTTATCTTGCATGATTGCGATGAGAGCTATGATATTGCTAATGGTAATAATAATGATAATGAATTTCTCAAGTATCAAGAGTCAACAAGTAATTAAGCCAGGGTTTAATTTTCTAGAAGGATTTACTGAATTACAATCAAGGTAATAGAACATTCCCGTCCCACACGAAAATAGCTCATATCTTAATAGGATTCTTGCTGCAAGTAAATACTTTTTCCTCTGTCAATACTAAATGCTACTCACAGGAGGCGTGACTATTAATTGGGTTAATCATGTTTGGCTGACGCCACATTGAAAGTACGCTTGCGTGCTTGCTGTATAATATTACATTTGGTGCAGATCCCTTATGAAATTGTAAGCGTGTAGGAGGGCATTATTTATAGGAACTTTTTTTATTTTTAAAAAGAACCAATTTTGATTTGATTTGTCAGGAGAGTAAACAGGTTAATAATGTGGGGCAATCTTAACATGAAAGGCACAATATCCAACAATTACAAGTATTTACTAAAAATACAAAGGCTGATCAATCTAATTTGAAGAATAGATGGTTTTGGCATCTCCATTGCTTTTTAAAAGGAAATGCTCACAACTTTACTACAATCATATGACTACCATAAGTATTTTCCCATGAACTGAAAACAAACAAAAATCACTCCAACAAGAAATTTTTTTTATATTCTTTTCAACCCTTCTTTGTATATGGGTGCCTATTGTCCTCTACCTCTATTTAAGAAACACTCTTCCCTTCCCTAAACCAATGAACTAAAAACGAAATAAAAATGAGCAACGAAGAAAAAACAGTCGTCGTGCATTTCAGAGGAGAGGTGAAAGTAAGTACTCTTTTTATCTCGAATACTATCTTCAGGAATTCGAACCTATTCGCTTTGCAAAGAACAACACCTCTATTTTTTTTTCTTATACGACTCATTGCTACTTCTATCTATGACACTAGGCAAAAGGATTCTCTAAACGTTACCAAAATTGAATTCTTGTAACCCTTTCCATGTTCACAATTTTTTTTAATAATTTTTTCAACAGAATCTACCCTACAATGATGGCAGCATACGACGCCTGAAAATTGAAGCTGCCAGGGCAAAAAAACAAAATTCGGTTTCCTTGATCGTCATCGGCGTCCCGTAAGAGAATTAAGGTACCTTCCCTCGGATCTTTTCGTCTTATTACATTTATTCTTTAGCTGTTTCCTTGACTTTATTTTCTCTATTTTTAACAAATGTTCAATTAAAAGTTACATCATTGATATTTCAAGACAGGTTTCCTTAAACAAATTTTTTTTTCGCAGGAGCGGGGATGAGGTATTCCTGCATCTCTACAGGAAACCAAGAAACAAAAGGGGCGGTAAAGTTAGAGAAACAGTAACTTTCAATTTTTCATTTTCATAACTACCTTTTAATTTCAATCTTCCTGTTCAGTTTCCTAATCTTAACGCTTTTTAAATTAAAGGTATAATTTTAATTAGTAGATTGGCTGATTAGTTAATTTTGTCAATTAATCATCGTTTCCCAATAATTCTCCCTGTATGTAATTGAAAACCCCAAATAAAGGCAAGTGTCCTTCCATAATCACATAGTCTAAATATGGGCAAGCGTCTTTCAATGATCACATGACCATTTCGCCTCATAAAACTTGGCTGTTGAATGACAACCATTTGCACTTCGACTTCAATGCATTCAAAATTATAAGTACCTTTAATTCAATGATTTGCAACTCCATCTTATATTCAAATTTCGTATCCAAAGTCATCAAAATTATGTCATATATAGTAACCTGAGGCAGCGAATGTTGCTATGTCCAATATTTTACAAATGTTATGCAAAATTAAAACATCCCTTTCATCAAGATTTTACCGTTGATATTGCATATGATCGTTTTTAAGGTTTTAGTTTCTTTATTGATGCAACTTCATAATTTTCTTGCGTTTCCTCTATGTATTTATCAATGGCGTAACGAAAGACTGCGTAGGTGCGAAACCACCCCTCCCCTACTAAGAATCATTGACTCAACAGTGAAGTTCAGCAAAAGCATTTATAAGAATGCCTTACTTTCATCTTAATACAGTGCAAATCACCTTTGACATAAAACCATTCAGTTTCGCACCCCCTAGAGAAACTCCAGCCTATGCCATTGGAAATCTTCTATATAATTGTAGATACAACGTGTTTCCATTAAAAATGCTATCTGTAGTTAATTCTTTAATTCCAGTTTTGACCTTGTGCTATTAAGTGATAATTTTAAATGACCACGACTTCTACTCATTGATTCTATCTTTAATCGTTGCATTCGTTGTATTCGTAGAAGTTTATGAAACGAACCAATTCAACAAATTTAACTGTATCACAGTAGCCTATAACATTTATAACGCATTTCAGGGGCAAATATTTACCTGTTTCATCGGTTCTCTCCACCCATCATGTTGTATTAAAAAAAACCCTTTTTCCAAAACTGGTTATAAAATCTGTGAAAATTATTAACTGCAATATATACCATCCAATGCCATCGAAGTAATCACTATGCACTATATTTCTCTTGGTTTCATACAGTTTGACCTTTCTTTTACCCAAAATTTCTCCCTTCATATAGCATACGAAATGGCTCAATGTAATATTGAAACTAAATTGAAGGAGCTGGCATCTTTGCTTGATGTTTCGCAAAACGTCTCTTTCTGAAAGCGAAAAGGGGGACGACCAACAAAGGGCTATAAGAATATGCAGAGCCAAATTGCAAAGTGCTTGCAGCCGCCTTGAGGTCATTAGAAAAAAACTTCGATGATTTGCTTTACGAACAAAATATTTCAAAAGACATGGACGATTCAGACTTTTTATTGCAAGTTAAAGAAATTAATTAGTTGTAGATCCGCATTTCACGTTTAGATTATGTAGAAATATACACCCCTATTTTGTTTCATCGTTTTCTGTCTCTGTTCTCAACATCTAGATACCTGTCGGAGATCAATACCACTTATTTAAACCGAATCAATCCATACAAAATTCCTACAAAATCCATACAATTTTTCACACAGTTTTGACAGGAACAGTTCTAAATCCAGTACAGGTTTTATCATATTTCAATTTATTTTCGAAAACCCTTTATTTGTACATTCGTTACCGTAAACCTTTAAGCAAATAAGGGCAAAGTGAGAAGACCTGTATCAGTTAACGATATCTATTCAAACAACGATCTATTTGCCAAAAAGGATAGGACAGGAAAGCAGGAACGAGGCTTATTTTACCATGCCAAATGTCCTCCTTGCCTGATAGTAATTACTGTAATATGTACAGTGCATAGGAAGAACACAACAGAACTACTGTATATGGTAGTACCATTGTTTTGGAACGATACAAACAAAATAAATTCTTCATTGGAAACAAAGCCTTTTTATAATTTTTGGTGCATGAGCACCCAAGAACAATAAATATTTCTGGGTTACGGATGTGTAATTTATTGATTAAGAGGCTAAAACTTAGACAAAATGTTGAAAATTGCTGCCTTTTCTTTGCACCTTTAAAAAAAGATGAAATTTTTGGATTTTTTTCACAAATTTGATCTGACAACACACGTTCGTTTTTATCATGTATGAAGAACTTCTGAGTATATCATTTAGGGAGGCAGCGGAAAAGGTATCCATAATGGCGGTTTAGAACAAATTGTCTGCATTCGGCTTACAGTTGAAACGAAACAACAAGTTACAGGAGACGCTTTCTTCCATTTAGGAATATAAGGAATAAGTCCAAATATTCAATTTTCTATTATTGACCCTACTTTAAAGCAGGGAAGTATGTGATTTTCTACCTTATTTTTTGTTTCTTTTCGTTAAATCACAAATTTTACATTATTTACGTTGCTTCTAAGGTACAATAAACTTACGAAAATTCTTGCGGAAAAAAATTTAAATATAGCTTTCAATCCTATATGCATTTTTCCTGTTTTCCGGCTTTTGATGTCTTGAAATTTTCGATTACGGGTAAGCGAATCTATGTGTGGCACTTAAACTTTTTTTTGTTACATTGGCCTACCTCACAGTCATTGACCATCTGCAAAAAGGTCATTTGCTAACTTTTAGGTGAGGCCACTAACTTGATTATTAGACAAACAGGGCCCTGGGTAACCTACAATATATATTCATTAATCGCAATATGAAAATTTACAAACAATACCCTTAAAGTTTTTTATTAATTTTAGGCAAGTCTGTGCAACATTGCTTTCCAATTGATTGTTTTCTTTCTTTGAGGTCATAAATGGAACCTTACCCCTTCATCTTCAGTTTCAAATTTTTTCAGGATTCTCATACTCCAATAATTGTTTCTTATATTAAAATTAAATTACATGTTTTCTTATACTCAATGTCAGCCATCACCTTTTACACTCTTTCCCCTTTTGGTTGAATTGGGTAATTTTGTAATCCCCAGCTTTAAAGTATGCCACGTCGCTGGCGGCAAAACTTTGATCGGCGAAGAGCAAGAGAAAGGCAAAGACAATATAATCAGAACCGTCGTAACAACAACAGACCACCAAATGCAGAGGAGCAACAAGTTGCTGATGCAGTAAATGAATTAGCTGCAATGGAACTTCAAATTGCACAAAATGAGCTTCCAGATCAACAGGGCAATGATGAAAATAATCTTGACCAACAGCCCCCACAACAGTTTCAACCTAACCAACCTGCTGAGCAACTGAATGCTGATCAGCATCCACAGCTGTTTTTCAACCTACCACAACCACATTACCTTGGCATGATGGAAAATTCATGTCACCATGGTCATGAAAAACTTCTCATTAGTGAGCAGAATGCACATAATGTATTCACCAAGTGTTGCTTTCAAGGTAAAGCCACTCTACCACCAATTACACTACCTTCAGCAAATATTATTGACTTATTCAGTGCAGAAACACCACAATCAAGCCATTTTTTGGAAAACATTCGTCATTACAATGCTGCTTTAGCAATGGCTTCCTGGAATGCCACTGTAAAGCCTGGTTTCCATATAGCCGTAAGGTGCTGTAAGGTGCCGGTACCACTTGCCTGTACCGTCGGTAACGGTATGCCTCAGCCATTTCAATTTATATGGAAACCACTTTTCAAATTGCCTGTACCATCGGCAACGGCAGCCTCAGCCACCTCAATTTATATGGAAACGTTTTTTCTAAGTGCCGCCGGCAGTCTCAGCCATGGTAATTGAGGTGCCGGAACCACCTTGAAAAGTTGAATTATTTCAACTTTTTCTGATCCTTACGGCATGGCACCGGCAGCCGCTACCATGAAATTTCATATGGAAACGCATACCTTGCCGGTAACTATGCCAGTATCTAAGTAGAACCTCGGCAAGCTATTGTTCTCATGTTCTCTTTTGTTAATGTTAACCAATCAAGATAGGCTTATGTCAGCCTCAGTTTCGAGTTAAAAAATTTTTTTCGAAAAGTATTTTGCGAAGTTACCACTTTTGCTCAAGAAGAGAGATTAAAAGCACTACAGCAAAATATCTAGTGTATTTTCATAGGTAAGAAATGGCAAGCCAAAAGGAAGGGGATAATCTGGAAAGTATTTATATTGATAATGAAGCATTAAAGGGGAAGTTCGGTCTAAAATGAAATTTGGCTATATTGCTGTAAATATAACAGAAGGCTTTGTTGTGAATTGTTTTTGCTCTTACCTCTCATTTTACTCTGTTATTCCACGAAAACTGTCTCCCAAAATCGCCTCGCGATAGGCCGCCATCTTCAACTCTCACGAGGATAATGTTGTTGTTGCCTTTGACGTCATCACGTTCAGAAGATGAGAGTGACTCAAGTGTAAGCTATGGTGAAAGTTAATTGATTCGGAAGGTTTCGGATTGAGAAACAACTTTTCTCGAAATCGGACAGTATTTAAAGATTTTTCGTTCAAAATGCCGAACTGTGGTGCATTTGGGTGCACAAATCGCTCGAGTCATAATAAAGAATTGACGTTTCATCAGATACCAGGGGAAGGTCGCAACAAGCAACTCAGAAAAATGTGGCTAAAGAACATACGTCGTGCCGGTGAATTACCGAAAGACAAGAGTTTTTATATTTGCTCGGAACACTTTGCCGAAGACTGCTATGAAAGAGATTTCAAGGTAACTAAATTTTTAATTAATACGCTAATGCTATTTTCTACGGGTTTTAGTAATCGTCAGAAGTTTCGTCAGAAATTCTGCAAAAATAATTTGGGTACCTCAAAGTAGCTGTATCATTGAGTATGAAATAAACGATTTGTTAGATAAAAATAAGATGAAAACGGCTTATCAATGCCTCAAACGAGCAAAAATAAAACCACTAATTCTAATCTATTTTCTCAGTTAGTTTTATTCCAAAAAGCTTACTTGAATGCGCGAGATTTTTTTCTAGGGCTGAAAATATTGTATTACAAAATGAAAGGGGTAAAGCATTTACAGGAGTGACAGAAAACATATCTAATACAAACAAAAACAGCACATATAACATGTTTTGCCATAACCACTGCCAACTTCGTGTTAGCGATGACGACTATTATGAGTAATTCTTCTATTGATATTGAGTCATGATGAATTTCCTTTTTGCTCTGCCTGCTGCATGGGCGTCGTGAACGCCTTGTCTGTTTGGTAAGCCGAACACAAATTGCAAGAGGTGTATCCAATTTTGGGCATGAGGGATTAAAATCTGAAATATCTCATGCAGTGAAATAAATGAAATACAAGCACGTGATAGGGCTGCGCTTAATAAAAGGAGAAGAAGATGAATTTTGAATTGCTTAAATTCAAATTTTTCTTTAAATTCGAATTGAATAATATTTTGTTTTATGAAAAATTACTTTCCAGAAAGAACTGATGGAAAACAAGCCAGGTGCAAAAAAACTAAAGGCAGATGCAATCCCTACAATCTTTGTATTTAGGGAATCGACACAAAAGAGGAAAAATTCCATAGAGCGGGCTGCAAGGGAAGAAAAACGCAGAGTTTGTATTGTTTTATTCGTATTAAGACTTTCATAAAACATCCAGTGTTGTGGGGGGTTGAATAACAGACTGTTTCTATATACCGTCACGATATAGTTGGGCTATCTCGGGGGGCTCGGGGGGCTCGGGGGCTCAGCCCCCTTTTAATTAATAGAATTAAATTCAGAAAAATTTTGGGGTCTCAGGTCCCTCTCAACAAATCAGTTCATGTTTGTTTTACAGTGTCGCTTAATAGTTTGAATGTTTTGAATATACATAACGGAGAGTCTTTAACAGAAATGCAAGTATATTGAGTGCTTTAAGGGTGTGGTCTCTTGAAGTTTCCTATTGCACAGCCCTTCTTCTTTAGTTCTTAGGACGGCATCCCGGGTCTACATACTTGACAATAGTTTTCATGTAATTTTTCAGCTTCTGGATGTGCTTCAACGTCCCCCAATGACCTTGATGAAACGATTGCCAAAAGCGTCTCCATTCAAACGGAGTCTGAAAAATTTCTGGAAAAAAGCATCGGTTGTACAGTAAATATGGTACACAAGAAAGTTGGTACCTTCACCACAATGGTAAGCGTGGGAACCCAGTGTTGTGACCGTCAAAGTTCAACTGGCCCCGAAATGAGAGATGTGGCAGTAAACACAGAAGAAATGGCAGGATTTGATGATTCTACCGCTTATGTCCCATCCTGCAGTGAGTCAGAGGGTGAGACCAATTCCTTCAAAGATGCCGATTTTTCTTTCCACAGCGACGAAAATGCATCATCTACAGAGGCTAGTGACGAAACTGATGACGAGGGGCTAGGCAACGAGCAACCAAGCCACCACACAAAATTTGTTGTGTTTTGGTCATGCTTGCTTCCATTGCTGCAAATTTGCTCAACTTGCTTTACGACTACGACTTTACGGAAAATTATACGCAGTGGGGTCATGGTAAAAGTTGAACGAATTTGCAGCAATAGCCACAAAACATCATGGTACTCCACTCCGAGAATACGTGGGATGTCTCTGGGGAATCTTGAATTGTCAGCTTCCATACTTTATACCGGCAGTACTTTCACAAGAATCCAAGAGATGATGTCACTATGCAACATATCGTTTTTAGGTCGCACAAGCTATCACGCTATACAAAAACAAATACTTTTCCCAACTGTCAATGACTTTTACGAAAACGCTAGAAAACAGCTTATTTCCTTAGTGGATGGTCCTGTAGCCTTAGCAGGGGACGGTAGATGTGATTCGCCAGGTTGTTCTGCAAAGTATGGTACATATACTGTGATGGACACAAACACCATGAAAATTTTAGACTTTTCCGGTGTCCATGTAGGAACTGTCTCGAGTTCTAACGCAATGGAAAAGCAGGGTTTGAAATATTGCCTTCAATCTCTAGAGAATCAAGGGATGAGTGTGGCATGACTGATCGTCAT